ACCCCACCTCCACCTTGCTGCCGTCTGAGTCGAAGTGGAGCTCTGTGTCCGTTACTGATCCAACCACGGGCCCATCCATCTGGTCCGTCATGAGTCACTCTCATCTCATCAGTCCACAAAACCTTTGAAAAATCTGTCTTCAGATATTTCTTGGCCCATTCTTGACGTTTCAACTTATGTGTCTTGTTCAGAGGTGGTCGGGTTTCAGCCTTTCTTACCTTGGCCATGTCTCTGAGAACTGAACACCTCATACTCCTTGACATTCCAGGTAGGTTGCAGTTGTGGAATATGGCAGCACTGGAGGACAATGGGTTCCTGGTTGCTTCATGCTTGATTCTTCTCAAATCTTTGGCGGTTAATTTGCGTCTTTTCTTCTCGACACGTTTCTTGCGACCCTGTTGACTATTTGCAACAAAACGTTTGATGGTTCTGTGATCACGCCCCAATATCTTCAATATTTCAAGAGCGCTGCATCCCTCTGAAAGACTTTTTACAATTTTTGACTTTTCAGAGTCAGTTAAGTCTCTTTTTTGGCCCATTTTTCCTGAGGAGAAGAATCTGCCTAATAATTGTGCACACCTTGATATAGGGTGTTGATCTCCTTAGGCCACACCTTCCCTCGTTACACAAATACACATCACCTGATATGCATAAAATCCAATAAGCATTCAAGTTTATACAGCTTGGAGTTGAAAATTATGGATAAAATGATGATATGGTCAAAATAATCACTTGCCTAATAATTGTGCACACAGTGTAGTGTGTTAGGCGAATGAAATATATCAGAGCTGCTAAATAAATTAAAAGCACTTTTTTCAAAATAATCTATCAGGTGTCGCCATCGACTCCACTGTACTTAAGTGCAGTTTTCAGGTCCATCTTATGCTGCTTTACACTTCTCCTCTACTACATTTTGGGGTAAAATAGACTGCACTTCCTCCTCCACCACATTTATCCAACAGCTTTAGCTACTTTTAAGATGATTTAACACAATTAATAACAAGACAAGCTTTAAAATACAACACATTGGGGGCGCCATATACAGGGCTACAGTCCCGATGTGGAGGTCATGGGTTCGAATCCCGCTCATGACCCTTTCCCACACGTCCTCCACCTACTCTTCTCCCCCACTTTCCTGTCTCTCTCTCTCACCGACCTATCAAACAAAGGCCAAAAAAATAACTTTAAAAAAAAATAAAAAATACAACACATTGCGAAAACTTACACAAGTGTTCTGCAACCTTTTTGTGTAGTTGGCATCCTAGAAAGGTTCCTGGAGTTAATGTAGTCAAGCGGGATACGCAGAATTTGTTCAGTCAACAAAGGTTCCAGTCAACGCCAGATGTATGTAATCTGATTTATGTAAATATGTTTGTCGGTTGCTTGGTTGCGTAAATGAAGCAGATCTTTAAAGTTCCTCTTTGGTCGCTGATTCTAAAAACTCACATCTGTGTGTCAAAGTTTGTCCATTTTCTTCAGCTCGAGCACACCAGCTCACCTACAGCTCTGCTTAAACTCTATTCTACACGCTGCAGAGTTGTGCTATTGCAGTGAAATCAGCTGTTAGAACAAGAAACTGATTCTAAAGAGTGTGTAGTCGGCATCACATTTAACCAAAGTGGGATTTTTCTTTTCAGATATAAAACTGGAGCCACATTAACATGCTGCTGACACACTCATCCTTCAGTATTAATAATCTAATAATGTCAGATATGATAATATATCAGTCAGGGATCCTGCTAAAACTTAAGTTTTTCTGTGCAGGACTTTTATTTTGTAATACATTTTTTAGTGCTTTTACTTAAACAAATTAGTTCCACTGCTGATGATAACATGTTAAATCTTTTTAAACAGCTTTAAGCTCCGTCAAAGTTCCTAACTTTTATAGACAAAGCAATTTATTGAGAAAACAGTTGGTAGACTAATCAATAATAATCTTTAGCCCAACCAGCTCCTACCTTCTGCTTTAATACCCCCATCCAAGTGATAAAGCAGCAGGAGGAAGAACTATTACTACCGCACAGTAAAAATTCAAAGGTTAAAGTAGTCATTGTGCTGCCAAGAGGAGCCCAGGTTATGATATGTGATGGATTAACACAGGAGCAGAATTTTAGTGTTGCAGCTGCTCAGTGCAGAGATATAACTTCAGCTGTTTTATGTGCCGTCAGACAGCGTAACATTTTATTGTGATCATATATATTGTATGTAAAGTGTTCATCTATGTTGTCACATGTAACGGAGGAAACTGCACTCGCTTCAAACAGACCACCAGGGCTGCAGCTAATGTTTCTGTTGGTCCAGATAACACCAGCAGTTGACATAGTGAAAATTTTGTCTTATCAGATTGAAAACCCAGAGGTTCACTTTAATATCTGAGAAAACTAAGAGAACAAGCAACTAGTCTGTATTTGGGAAGCTCGACTCAGCAGGGAGCGGATTTATTGTTAAGGTTTCATAGCTGCTCACAAAAAACTACATAAAATAAAAAAAATATTACCTCCAGAAAGGCGGATGAGCTGCTTGACAGACAAGATATGATTGTATTTAAAGAGTATGACTGAGCTGCCCAGTGCTTCCCATCTAAACTGCTTGTTAAAATACGAGTGCAATACAAGTTTTTTCTATTGACACACAGTGTGTTTCAGATCCCACCACCTTACGCTGCTTTATGCTCCTTTATTTTCAAGAAAAAACTTAGGCAAGGATCAAAAAAATATTTTTTTCTGTGATGATTGAAATAGAACAACTTTTTACTGGTAGCACCTAGAATGATTCTGATTGCTCTGGCTAAAACTAGAGAGTGTTATCTTTACAACAAAGATCAAACTTTATATACACTCCATAAGGGTCAATAACAGCATTCATTTTAATGAATGTCATTGAGATGTCATTTTACAGGCGGTTGCATTACAATGACCTGTAATGATAAGGGGTTAAGTGAGATGCATCACTTGCATTCGTAACCGCTCCTAAACAGAGCAAAGACAGATAGAACACCTGAAATGTGTCAAAATCAGTCCTGTGTTGTATCAGAGGTGGGTAGCAGTGATTTGAAAACATCATTTTTGACATAAACCGCAACATTTTCCATCAAGTTGTTCTATGAGTGTGGCACATCTGGATGAGTCTTGTGGATGGATCTCGAAAACCGAACAACCTCAAATCTTCGAGGTTAAAATGTTTTAACTACTGAGATCAGTATGAAGTCGTATAAAAGGAAAATACTGAACAGCCACTGTGCATTTACTCGACTAAGTAAGTGTACTCAGTGACATTCCACAACCGATAGCACTCAAATCTCTCTCTTGGCACCACATGCTGACTGATATAAGCTGCTCGAATATTCACAACACCTCCAGCAGAGACTCCTCTTTAAAAAAAAATCTTTTCAACCAGTCTGTAAAGTTCCACTTTCCTTCACCATGACATTTCAAAGCCACATCAGACGACAGAAGTGAAACCGAGCAAAGCTCCTGCTGAGGCGGAGGAAGAGGTGTCGACTGTACACCGAACAGATAAGAAGGAAACGGAAGGGGGGGAAAAAGAAGTGGAGGTTTTCATGTGTAAAATCTTTATTTATGTGCACAGAACTGTTTGTCAGGGGTTCAGTGAAACACAAGCTGGGTGAGTGGTCCCTTCCCAACACCAATATGCACTGGAGAGGGCAACTTCGGTTTGACCCTTAACAGTGACGAGAGGCACCACTACATTTGCACAACATTTACACCAGAGAGATGCAACCCCCTCCCCTCCCTCCCCTCCCCTCCCCCTTTAAAACCCAATGTTAAATTTGAAGCCCCAGAAGAACAGGAACAAAATGTTTTAGAAGGAATTCTTCCACATTCATAAATCTGATGGATATCAATGAGCAAACTGGTGGGAGGGGAAAAAAAAAAAAAACTTCAACAGCTATTGTTTAAAAAAAAAAAAAAAAATCCAGCTTGACTATATTGTTCTACCAGGTTGTGACTGGAATGTACAACAGGACAAAAAAATAAATGTAAAAGCAGTGCATGAAACCGCACACGATTCATATTTGGCAACAAAAAAGAAGAAAACAAAAAAGAAGAAACGATGGAAATACTGATGCTACATACAGTTGTTTGAGTAGTAAGTACAAACTTCACATAAGAATGTTTGACCACGATTCGAAAACAATTTAAAAGTTAAGACTTTTCCTTCAACAAAAAAAATGTCTTTCTTTAACTGTGTACATGAGCTGCGAGAGTTTTTTCCTTTTTCTCTGTGTGTGTGTGTGTGTGTGTGTGTGTTTCAGGGCGAAGTGTGAAACAGGAGGCCTGATGAGGAAAAAATAAAGTTCATCTTGGAATGTAGGCTTGGACTCGTCGCGGGGGGACGACGCCGAGCTTAGTGAAGCCGAATCTTGAGAATTTGGCCGTGGCTGAACCCCGTCCAGTCGATTCTCTCCTAAACAGCGGATGGTCCTGGGAAGGGGGACCGTGTCTTACATGGCAACCTTGGCAACCTGCTCTTCCAGTCTGGCGATCCGACGGTCTTGAAGGATGACACGGTCCCTGAGTGACTTGAACTCTCGGAGTACCTCTTCCAGTTTGTCCTCAATTTTCTGCTCAAAAACGAAGAGAAAGTTAGTCTTTAAAAACGTCTTCCCAATCGGTCATTTGGTTGCTAAAGAGTTGTTGAACTGTGTCAAAAAGATTTAGCGAGAGCAACTGTTTATGTTGTTGCTCATCACAGCAAAGTTGGGGATTTGAAAGGCTATACGGCCCAGTAGCAGTGAACATTTTCCCTTGCTGCTCCACTTTGTGACCTAAATACCAAAGTATGTGCTGATCCATAACTCTGGTGAATTGTTCCAACCATAATAATTACTGTGAATCACAGAGTCCACATGTCAGCAAAAAAAAAGGCCCAAAGTTAAAAAGTGAACTCTGAAAACAGTCTTACAAAAGCAACAGTGACAACAGTAATAATAATAATGGTAGTAATAAATAATCGTTTCTCACTCTAACACTCACTACTGACGGCTGCGGAGACGCGTGCTTCTGGACAACCGAGATGTTTTCTGCTTTCGTGGCCGGCTTGCTCTCCAGCACGTTCGTCTTGACCACTTTCAGGTCCCGGTTCTTCGTGGAGACGTAGCCGTCTTTGAGCGAGATCAGGATGGGGCCTCCGTTCTTGCCGGCGAACCACTCCTCCGCCTCCAGGGCGGGGTCGGGGCCGGCTGTGTCGGGGTACAGGTCGTCCTGGAACAGATCCGACTGGGCGGGTGCAGAGGACAGGCGGTAAATGTCACGAGGGAAAGCAGACGGGGGTGAAAACGCTGAGGCGCAGATGCAGGAAAAGGACACAGAACAGGATGTTGACTACGTGATGTAAGCGGACTCACCTTACGTGGGACTGTCATGATGATCGGTTCACATTTCCTCTCATGTAATTTGTAAAACCTACAGAAACGATGAACGTGATTATTATCAGAGGCAACAGCATGGAGAGTCATACAAAGTGGCATTTAATACTTGTCCATGACTGAACTACATAAATATAATAGCAAGACAGAATTTGTTAAATCAGATTTGTTAAAAAAAAAAAAAAATCCACTCTGTGTAAAATTTGGAATCCTACTGAGCAATACTCTGCTTAATGTGACGTTGAATATCTGGAGATTATTCACAGCGATACTGTCGCCGGCTAAATGCGGTTTCAATGTGGCTTGTTTCCTCATCGTTGACACCGTTGTCATGGCAACAGTGGCTGCTGAAGAGACGTGTTGTGCGTCGTTCCTGCTGGTTCCTGCGCTCACCGCAGGACTTTGCCACCAGTCACTAAAAATCTCAGATACAAAACGTTTCCTGTTTTCTCCAGAACACGAGTTCTACAGTTAGCGAACATGTAAGAATATGTCCGAATCAGAAGGAAATATGGACGGGCTGTCCGAGCGAGTCGTGTCGGCCTCGGCTTCGCGCTGCTTCAGTCACAGGAGATGTGATGTTTATGGTGTGATCACACGTCGGAGGGGTCGCGCTGATGCAACCGACTGCAGGCAACAAGCGTCACTTCTTCCACCAGCCTGAATGTGTGTTAACTATCTTGACTGACTTGAACTTGAGCACATGTTGCTTAATGGTATGAGGTGAAAATGTATTATCTTATTAATTTTCACTCACTTCACTACTGTAACAGTACTTAGAACTGATTTAATTTATCTCAGGTGTTTTAACTGTGAGTTTTTCATCCCTGCCTTGATGTAATTTGTATGAATGACAATAACGTAGTCTGAAGTCTGAAAAAATGTTATTATTTTATCCCCACTTGTTCTGAACCTCTGACTTCGAAGAAAAATCAGACGTTGACCTATGAGGAACAAGTCTGAGAGGCCCTGCTGTAGCGGGTTCATGCTCTGGCCTTTTTTTGTGTCCTCAGGCCATTTTGATTGTTATAGGTGCTACAGTCGTCCTCAGATGTATCCATACCCTCCCATTAAAGAAGAAAAAAAACAGCAGCTGTCACTGAAATAAGTTGAAATTGACAAAAGTAATAATAAATAAAAATTTAGTGAAAATCTTGACATTGCTTTTGAATTGTGGTTCAACAGAAATATAAAAAAACAAAAAGCAAAAAAGCATGATGGGACCCGTAAGCTAATATTTTGTTGAACAACCCTTTGAGCCAATCGCTGCAATCACGTGTTTTCTGTAACTCTCAGTCAGACTTCTGCACCTGTTGATCATCAGCAAAGTGCTCCAATTTGTCTGGGATAGTTTAGTTTTTTAAAATTATTCTTTTCAAGCATAATTCAAAACCAATGTGTTATTTCACTAAATTATAAATTAGCAAATTTTTATTTATTATTACTTTTTACAGTTTCTAGTTATTTGAGTGACTATTGGGAATTGTATGAATACATTTGAGGACGACTGTATATAAATGAATAAATTCTAATATATATTTTCTAATTTACTGAGGTGAAACGTGTCATAATCAGCATTCCTTCCTTCCCATTCTCTCCCCATTCACTTTTCTTTTTCGTTTAAATTACTATAAAAACACCTTGATTACTGGTAAACTAAAATGATGTCTTGAGGGGAACCAATCAGTTCATGAGATCACTGACAGCTTAATCCCGTTTCTAGGTTCCAGCTTTTAAAATCAAAATGTTTTGTTGTCATATTTGTTTTCTAAGAAGCTGATCTGATCATTTATAAGTTTTGAGCAGCTCCTCAGATAAAACAACACATTTAAATATAGTATTTGGTTTATAATAATCTGATCATTTTGAGTTTCAGCTGCAGTGAGTCTATTTTGAAGCAACTTCTGAGCGTACAGAGACATGAAATCTCGGCAGAAATTTAGCTACAGAATAGAAAAAACGTTTGTAACCGCTGCAATACCTTGCGATTTCACATTTGTTGACATCCAGACCTCTTTTGGGCATGTACCCCATTCCCCTCTGGGGCTCCTTGGTGGAAAAGGTGTTGAGGTAGTGAACAAACGGTGCCTCATCAGTGATCTCAAAGTACCGAATGCTGCTGTCACCCTGAGGACACAGGCGCAGATAAACGTGAGCTCCTCGATCATATGTCGTGAAAAAGGAAACAAAACAGCATTTTTCACATATGAGGCTGCTTACCTTTCCACACAGGTAGACTATATTGGTGTCGGGGTCGTAGAAGGGCAGCAGAACTCCATTACTGGTGTCCATCTCTTGAACACATATCGGCTCATCCATGCTGTCCTGAAAACACAAAATAAATCCTAATTTGAAGTGCTGGCTCAGTGTAAAGGAACCAAACACTGCATAATTTAAAGAACAAAATGAAGAACAAATTATACTCTGCCATTAAATGAAAAATGTCTCTTGTTGATTCAATTTGAGAAAGAGAAGTCAGAGTGTGTGAAAGCAACACTGTGAATTTAACGCCCCCAACTGGAGCTGAGGTGTCACAGTCTTGGTTCACAGAAAGAAAACAAAAATTTGTCCTTGTGGGGAAAAAACAGGCCTGAAATCTTTAATTCAGACGGCACAGCACAAACTGATATTTGGATTTATATCATGACAGAATGTACAAAGTGTCCCCAAGTGTTTAACAGACACAAGTTTATAAATGTTTGGTTTATATCGGTGTGTTTTGGACTAAACGAGACCAACTTACAGCTTTCCATAGTCCTAGCTGACGCTCACTCATGCGGCTGAATCCGGTGGTGAAAATGTTTCCATCTGCTAAAAAGATCGCTCTCATTGGTCGAGCTCCCTCGTGAGCTTTGTCCTTCTCCTAAAAACAGAAACACACTTGTCAGGATCGATCAGCCACGACTGTGGGCGTCATTAGCGTCCTGCTTTGTGGCTATCGGAGCGATCGTGCCACCTGTGAAGCGCAGCAGCTCCAGACGCCTTCCACTTACCGCCACGATCTTTTTTTTACGGGGGTCGATGACGCGGACCTTCTTGTCCTTGCAGGCGGTGCAGAGCAGGCTGCCGTTGCGACTCCAGCTGACGCTAAAGATAACATCAGGGTGCATGTCCTCCAGATTGATCATGGCCTCTCCCGTGCCCACATTCCAGATGATGATCTGGTTGTCACACCCTAAAATGGACATGCACAGTCTGAATGCACACACACCTCTCTGGCCAAGGTTATTTCCAGCACTTTACATCACGCAAAGCAATGCAGCAGACGCCATCGGGACAATCGGGCAGATCTGGAGTTCGGCTGAGCGCAGTGGACAAACAGCAGATCGGTTACCACGGCATGATTTCAGTTTGAGTGTGTATCAGCGGTTTAAACGAAAGGTCACCTGCACTGAGGAGAACGTTGCGAGCAGTGGGATGCCAAGACACGATGCCGACCCTTTTGGAGTGGCCCTCTAACACGACCACAGGCTCTGACAGGGGGTTTTCCAGTCCATTCTCAGGTATCTGCCACACCTAGGATAGAGAAAGAAAATTCAGAGCAACAGAAAGAAAAGCAGTCAATAAAAACCATTTCCTACAGCACTAATAAGAACACAGATTTGAGAAAAACAGTAGATTAAGCCTTTGTGTTAATGCTGATGACATTCATGTTCAACAAAACTAAACACACACAACATTACTCTGTCAGCATCCACAAGTCAAGCCTAACTACAGCTCTGTTTCCATACAAGTGAATTTCAAGTGAACTTTTAAACCAGGCTACATTAGATGGTGGCAGTAAAGGCTACGTTACAGTAGAAGAAGCCAGAAACAAGAGCCAACACCATCCTCCTACCACCTGGGCCACTTCCTGTTCGAGCTACTGCCATTGGGCAGACGGTACAGGGCCATCAGAACCCGGACAAATAGACTGAAAAGCAGCTGCTTTCCAACTGCTGTCAGAGCCATAAATGCCTCTTCATCATAATAAGTGCAATATAACTACCACAACCTCTGTGCAACATACACTGTGTTCATGCTTATTATTTAATTTCATCTTTATATATAGAGTTTTTTTTAATATATATTTTTTATATTATGTTGTATATAGCTGTTTACAAAGTTTTTATATCTGTTTTGCACTGAAAGGCTGCACCTTACTTTTTGTTGTACTCGTTGCAATGACAAAAAAGTGAATCAGAATCTGAATTTTTTGGCCAAAAACCAAAAAACAGAAGAAAGAAACAAAACCAGTTATATCGGTCATCACTGACAGAAAAATGGAGAGTTCTTCAGGAATTTAGGTAAACTGGGAAACTATCTCTATTAAGTTTAGATGTCAGCAAGAGTTTACCATGTTTCATGTCGTCCAACGTCTCTAGATGTAAAAACAGCTGATTAGTCTTGTCGAGTTAATTGTTTGCTGCTTCAGAACTTATTAAAAAAGGTGTGACAACCTCCCATGAAGAGTCTAAATCCACTTTAGCCCAGTGTAACACAATTTCTGTGAAATTAGAGAAATTTGTCAAAAAAATACTTTATGGTACTGTTGTTATGTCCACCTTACATTTCCCAAATTCCCCACATCTTTTCAAATTTGTCAACAATTTTGTCAGGATTCTGATTCCTACGTAACTTTAGGTCAATGAATCCTTCAGATTTCTTTAAATCATGCTATTTGTATAGCATAGTATGCCTCTATTTTTAAGATAGAATATTTTGACATGTGAAGGCAACGTTTATGTGAAGTGATGAATGTGTGGTAGTGATACTGAGAACAGGTGTTTTCACTTTGGCTCGCAACTAATTGTTTAAATTATTTTCATTAGCAATCCATTCATTGATTCACTTTCTCAATCAGCACTTCAAACATCAGTTATTTTAATGCCTCTTTGATGCAGTTTCAGGAGAAACAGTCAGCCTTGACTAAATGTCTTTCTAATTAACGTTTTTAGTTTAATATCTTTTTTGAAAACCCCCCCTAGGGCTATGTTTGGTGACGAGGTTGTGAAACAAACAAAAAACAAAACAACCTTCTGGGAATTAATGATATGAGGTGTCTCTGTGTGTCTAAGTACTGACAGTGTCGCTCTGTAAATAAACCAGGAAAAACCCAACACGCATGTGATCCTTCAGAGATTTTCCGAGTGCTTACCATGACCGTGCAGTCTTCCGAGCCGCTAGCAATGACGAGGTCATTATGAGGACACCAGTCGATGTCCAACACGGGGCCCGTGTGACCACATACTGTCGGGTAGACCTTGTCTATACGGCCAGTCTGCAAGACAGGAAGAGGTGACAGAGTGTGAGGCAGAGCAATAAAGTCCAGTTGGCTGATATGAAAATGACAGACAAACAGGGTTAATTTGACTATCTTGCGTTCTGTAGAAGTTATATTCAGTCCTCTGTGTGACTATAAAACACTTTTTCACGCCTCTGTGGGCAATCCGACTTTAAATGTTAAAGAAATGAACGCATACACTTTTAAACAAATGCACGCAGACACTAACTCATGACATTTAATCCTGTAACACCAACAAAAAGAAGACCCAACATGTCGTGTGATATTTACCAAAGACTGAATTAATGTGTGGTTGTTGACCCTGAGAGAAGAGGCAGCGATCGGTTTCAAACGGCACCCAGATCAAAGCTGTAACAACCCCAGATCATTTTATAGGAACCGTTTTTATGTGCGGACACAGTCAAACACACTTTCACTGCAGTGACCTTATCCATTATGGATGTACATCTGTGATTTCCACCTAAACTATTCCAAAGTTACAGCAGAGCTCCTCCAGAGGCAGGACATTATGCAGCGAAGATAAACTAATTAACTCAGTGACCTGAAATAATGTCGGAGCACCCATCCCCTCTGTGGGTATCATGTGTGCAATGAAGCAGCTGGAACATGATACACACCGGATGCCTTAACTGTCGGGCAGATTTAAACATTGATTATCTATGGTTTTTACTACAGATATGAGCCTCGGGTCACAACACTGAAGAGCGGACCTACAGAATTGATTAACCGCATGTTCTGAACGCTATAACATGACGCGGTGTACAGTTACAACCCTTGTGCCTCTGTGTGGGTTCCTCAGGATCTAATTTTGATCCTCAACGGACGGTGTTACACATTTTCTAAATTCTTCTTTCTGATAAAAAAGTCACAATATTTGATGTCAGGATCAAAAATGTATGAAAGAATAAAAGTGCCTTCACAACAGCAAATACTGCAGCTCTGTAGGACGAAATTTCCAGCTAAATGCTAACATCCTGATGCTTTGAAGGTTTAATGTTTTGCATGATCATCATCACCTCAGTTTAGCAAGTAAGGGAGCTAATATTGGCTAATTAGCCTTAATAAAATTATATTTGTTTGGAAGCTACTTGGTCACAAACCAAAGTACCAAATAAAGTTTAATCTGATGACGATGCCAGATGAAAAGTCACGGCATTACCAAAACATTAGGACATACAGACAGGTGCCAAATTAAAGGAAATAAACTGAAGCCTTGAGTCCTACACTGAGGTGATCCGACGCCTCTTTTATGCTGTTTGGGGGCATTTTCCTGGCATCGCTTGAGTCCACTTGTCCCCTTAGAGGGAAGAGTCACTGTAAATCAATGCAAAGCTATTCTGAGTGATCACCTTTATCCTCGGATAAAACGTTTCTATCCTGATGGGAATAGCCTCTTCCAGGATATCACCGTGCCCCCACACATCGGGAGCTCACAAGGGGTCACCGAATAGTTCGATGAGTTTAACACAGATCACATGCTACGACCTTCACCAGATCTCAACCCGACTGAACACTTATGTGAGATTGTGGACTGATGACAGCACATTGTGGCCAACGAAGACACTTTATCTAGATTTTTTCCTTTAATTAGTCACCTGTCTGTATGCTCTGAGGACTATGAAAGTCTGGTAAAGGTTTGAAGGCAATCCATGGAATATTTTCTTGAGAGACCTTTGAGCTAAGTCTGTAGCATTGCTAAAAATTATTTACAGCGTGGCTTAATTTACAGGCTAAATTAAAAGGAAGTTAGCAACAGGAAAGATTGGCATGAGCAACATTAGCAGCTACTCAATAGAGGCTGACGAATCATCAGCCCGACTGATTATCAGATCTGATATTCAGCATTTTTCTGATTATTGGTTTCATTTATTTATTTTTAAACCAGTTCACGAATACATGTACTATTTTGGTGCTGATACTGTTGCCTCGATCTATAAACACAAGCCTCAAGCAACGTCTGGAAGCTCAATCCCATTGTTATTTGCCACCAGCTAGAGCCTATCAACACTGAAGGATAAATGCATTTCACTTTTAGTCTGCAAACATATACTGGTTCCAAATATGGGGTATTGTTGATTACCCCCTGACTACTAATGATCCGTATCAGCCCTGAAAAACCATCAGCTACAGTAATAATGGAATTTATACGGCAAATTAACACTTCTCTGGAATGTAAACACTCTAAATCTGCCAATTTCTGGGCACCAAGCAGAGGAATGTTTCATCTTGTCATGCTTGTGCTTCTTGTGAGGAGCAAACTATGAAATACAACAATGGCATTAATGTGTATTCATGCCGTGTAGCTTTTCTCATGTTTCCATGTTCCCATCTGTTCAAGGTTGCAGTAGTAGTTTGCTGCTTTGGCTGCCAAACTGGATACCCAGTTCGGAGGATTATGTAGCTTTTGGATGCGGATGTGAATTGTGTTTAAAGCTGGAAAATAGTTACTACGACACGGCTGGAGCTACACCTTGCATCTCAACCATACAGAGCAGAATGCATTAAAAACAACAGCCCATGGGGACACACAAGAGAAGAACACTGCTTTAAAATCACACTACTAAGACTTGTCAGCTAAACTGGCTGTGACATAACATCGCAGGTCAAAGAAGGACAGGCTATTTAGAGCTTCAGCATCTCTTAGTATTTAAATTACATTCTTTGGATATGTCTGAATCCAATCTCTGCTGTACTGAAGCAACGAAAGATCTTTTGCGCTTCTTGACGCAAACAAGAACCTAAACTCCTCACCTTTTGTAGAGGAAGGACGAGAAAGGCTCCTCCTCCGCTGGCCTCTATGATGATGGCAACAAACTTGGGGTTGACGGCACAGAAGGAGCTGTCCCATGTGACCCTGGACACGCGGATGTCATCGTAGCACTGGTCGTTCCTCACGGCTTGACCGAACACATGACGGAACTTGCTCTGTCGCACAACTCGCCGCAACATATCTGCAGAGAGGAACACGAGTACACCAAGTCAGACGGGTTGTGCGTTTGGTCGACAGATGTCCTAATTAAAGACATTTTGGTTAAAAAAAAAAAAAAGTGGCATCTTAGTAGATGGAAATCTGAAAATGAGCATCCCTCTAAGGCATGCCAAGAAAACCTTGAGGTAAGTTTGGGATGCTGCCAGAACAGTTTGCTTCATCTGAGATTATGTTGATGAACTGCGACTGAGTTTCTTGTACATGCAATGAAAGTCAGAAGTTCAGCTCTGCCTGCTGGCACATGTTTGAGGGAAACTGTACATGAGACACTTTTTTCTTTTCTCCAGCTGTGTTTTTTCGGTCCTGTTTGAGACCCAGAGAAGATGCATGAGTTCTGTGAAGGTTGTCAACCAGCCAAAGGTAGATTTTTAGTGAGTTTCCACCTTAATTAATGCACAGAATCAAAGAAATCAAACTTTCAGTGCTTGAACAGCCCAGTTTGGCAGTTGCTTTTGGTGGATACTTTAAATATTCAGTTCTTGAAGAGGTTTCATCTCATCTTCAGTTCAGAGGACTGTAAACGCCTCTTGAATGAACTCCTAGGATTACCACAATCTACACAGAAATATTCTACATATTTCTTTTTTCAATTATCAATTCAAGACCTAAACATAGACAGCACACTTTCTTTTAGAGTCTGTTAATTGCAGCGCAGGAACAAAGGTTCAGAACTGTGACCACTGATGTTATATTTTTAAACTGCTGCATCAGTTCCTGCGAGCGCACCACAGATGGCCCGCTGTTGCTCCAAGATTCTGGAAATGATCTCAATTGTTGATTCACTTCACATGATCACATTGTCGCCCAGCGTATCTTTAATCATGCATTTCCTGTTTCTTCTTCGGCGCTCGTTTCTGCTTTCAGCGTCAAGAGAGAAAGCATTCATTGAGTGCGGACAATAGTTCTCACAGCAGATTCCGCTTTTGGCATCTTCAAATGGTGAGATCTGTAGCCAAAATGTGATAAATCAAACACAATGGGAATTTTCCAGAATGTGCCTGGACGTAGAACTATCTACCGTGATTCCAAAAACTCTGTCTTTAATACCATTTTAGTAACATGCTTTGCTGTATAATTATCTGGAAAATATGGTGACTCAAGGCGATAATTAAGCTGCCAGTCTGAAGCAACATACAGAGCTGTTGCAAAGGCTGCAGGTCTGTCCTCACACCATACCACCTGCTATTCAGACTCGGATCTTGACAATGGAAAAAGCTGAATCAAGGCCATTTGGATCCGATATAAAAACTTGGATTTTTCCAAAATCTTCATTAGCAACACTGGAGCCTGTTTTTGCAAAGAACTGAGCTACACTGGCAGCAGCAGCAGTACATTACAAAGTGCCTTGAATTTAAAGCTTCTGACAGCTTTGTTGCTCAGACATTTATTTCGATATGACCTGTGTGACAGTATTTTAGGGAACTGAATGTCAGGCTTTGAAGTGATCAACACGCCTCGACTGTTCCTGTTCTCATAATGAATTTTAGGACGAGCAAAACACAATAATCTATTTGAATTCAGAAAAAAAAGACCGAAGCTCTAAAGCTCCTGCAAACTCATTACACACCCACACAGGTGTATTTAGTTATTTGGGCTGGTTAGACTTTAGCCTGTGTGCATATGTACAGATCGTGACTGACTGGAAGCAGTGTGACGTGGCGTGAAAACTTTTTTCTTTACAGAACATAATGCAGAAAAAGATCCTTTGTCGTTGTTGTTTACAATACTCTTAGCACCATCGGCAGCACATGTAGCAGAGCAGCTGAGCAGATGGCGGCATGGAGTGAGGCTTTACCTTCATGGTAAGTTATTAACTAGATCATGAAATGTATCACTGGGAATATATTCATAAAAACAATATCAGCCAATATACTGATGTATGAATTTCTTACTCTCTAAAACCCAGTATGAGTCAGGCTCGAGCATTTACTAACTCTCAGGTGTAAAACTGTGCAGTAACCATTAAATTAACGTAACAGCCAAAATCTATACGGCCCATATGAATGTAAAGACACATCTGATAACAGTTTCCTCATAAGGACATCTCTCTGCACAAACAGACGACATTTAAAAAAAATCTGAGTTCATCAGTATTCCACAACAACATGCTGTACATGTGGCCTTAAAAATCACTTCCATCTGTAGCTATTTTTATCATCAGACACGTGAGATATGAGAGAAACAAACATTTTCAAGGTGGCTTCTTATAAATCCAACACTAGCCCTGGATGCTCCCGAGACAATTCCCAGAGCTGTAAACACCGATCATGTTCCTGCAAGCCGCCTGGGCAGCACAGGGCTACAGTCTGACCAGAACAGCATGTTCCCTCCGTCAACATTAGTGCTTCATTCAAATAGCAGCTACCTTCACTCCACATATTCAGCTGACAGAGCTGAGCTGCTTTCAGGCCCTGCAGGCTTTGGTTGATGCCATTCATTACAAACGCTGCTCTCTGACCCAACATGGTTTCATCACCCACCAGGACACCACTGAGCATCACGATGGTGGCTTGAGTCATAGCAGTGCACTCAGTGCTCTGGCCTTGTCACAGCAGGTGCAGAGTAATGCTAAGACACTGAGGTCCAGGAGAGCAAGGTGAACGAGGATGTGATCTCTCATATCAGTAATCAGCAGCCCTGCAGGAGTCTGGCCTGTCTGTCTGTTATTTCACCGTCTGGGCAATTGTGAATAAATGGGTGTGCCACCAAGCATGCAACCGCTATCACTTCAGCTCAGCCTCGGCTTATTAAAAATAGCGGCTTGGTATATTTTTTGAATTGCAGGCTGAGTGTGCAGACAGGTCGGGTTCAATGGAGGCTCAAAGAGCTGCACTGTGCTAACGTTAAACAATGGTTGCTGGCTAACGTTAGCTGATGTGACCACAAAGCGGCGTGCCCCCCTCCTCCCCCGGTGAAAACAACTAGCTAGCTTCAAATTAAAAAATATAGAAAGGTAACAGAGGCTCAGTTGTGATTTTAAACCACCTCGCCAGTCATTTCAAACCTAGTCGCTGAGGGAAATGTTTAAACGCTAGTTAAAGATAACTTAGCTACGTTTGCTAGCGTTGCTGAAACAAGGGGGTGGAGATTTGTGTTTTGGTGAGCGACTCCCCAGATGTGAATACCCCCGAAAACACCACAAAGCCCAAGCTTAGTGGATGGTGACATTATTTTAAAAACATATACATATACTGTGTTGTAATTAAAACCAATCCTAATGTTGCAGCTGTGGAGCATGCTCCGCCGCACTGCCAGCTGTGCCGGGGCTGGTCCCGTCTCAACAGCGGCAGACAGGGAGACGTTTCGCGGCGAGCAAAGAAGGAGGCAACCGGAGGGGAGGGTTCGTCTTTAAAAAAAAAAAAAATTACACAAGTTGGACTCGTGTGTGTTATAGCCACACAAGGGGGGCTGCTCGCCGACATTAAGCACAAACTGAGCCGCCGTTACATCCTCTCTCGGTGTGTTTTGCCTCCTAACGGCTGACGGGTTAGCACGCATCATTTAAGCTAGCTGCTAACTATTAGCTGCGGTGGACCGCTGCCAGCTGACGCAAGTGCAGATATTTCCACCCAACGTTTTTTTTTTTTTTTTGGCTGCTCCCATTCTCAAACCCCATCCAAGCGAGCTTACATGGATGCTGCACAACCTCGATACGCAAAAAGAAAATACAATAAATAAATGCACGTTAAAAAAAAACAAACACTTTGACACTTTCTTACCTCCTAAATCTTTGCAAGATTTTCGTACGCACGGGGGTAATCAATCACAACACATGAATGTGGTAGTTTAGGCGCGCCCTTATCCTGCAGGACGTTGCTCTAGTATCCCTCGTCTCCACACACACAAAAAAAGAAGAAGAAAAGCTCAGCCGCAATGCTCTTATTCCCCCTCTTGACTGCAAATATGTGGCCGAAGGCAGTGTGGTTTTTTTAGTGGTATCTCAGGATGCCGGTGGACAAACAGAGCATCTCCTGTCCGCTCCTCACCTGCGGAAGACTAGCAATCGCCTATTCTCATCTCGTTATTAAATTCAATAGGATACGTTGACGACTGGCTACGGCACATGCGCAAAACCAAAAGTCAGATTTTATTACCCAAAGGCTCTGAATGGGGATTCGCAGGAGAAACTGGGCTTTTACTCCGCTGGATCCTTGCCGTGCGTTTTTTTTTTTTTTTTTTTGTTAGAAGTAGACGTCCTGAATCAGCGCATTTTTTGTTCAGGCTGTGCCTAAAATGTGGATTTAATAGCAAAGCAGCATCTTTTGTATGAGGGTCCCTCCCCTCCCCCTCTGTCCCATCCCATCCCACCCAGGCCTGTCCTGCCCAAACACAATAAAGAAAGCCCCCCCTCCCCTCCATAGACTGAGTCATCCAGACACTCAGTGTTTAGTATTTAGGAAAATCAGGTATTATTCATTCTCCCTTGTTGCATTTATAGTATTTACACTGCCACTTATATTTGCAGCCCTGCATCTACAAACTGGAGTTTATTGTGTTACACCTATTGCAATTTGATGCCTAAATCTGTAAAGATTTAAAAGGATCTTTTTTTTAAACACCAATTAATGCAATTTAGTAAAAACTACAGAAACCCAAATGAGATTCAATGATCATGATTCAGCGGCTATAAAATACGAGCTGTGTAAAACTATTAGCCTGCATGAAAATCTGAAATGTACACAGTGTCTATAAAAAGTATTCAGTCAGTTTTTTTTGTTTTTTTTTACCTTTTACTGCTTTTTCACATTCAATCATCGTGAATGTAATTTGGATTTTAGGACAAGAATGAACAAAAAAAAGAGTTTTTTGCATCAAAGTGAAACCAGATTTCTGTGAAGTAAGTAAATCAAAATCCTAAAATGTAGAACAAATGATGCTATAAGTATGCTTCCCTTCCAAATGGCTCACTGAAATAAACAGGTTCAGTCAGTTGGTCTTTGAATTCACACATTTAGTGAAATGGAGATCATCTGATTGTAGAATAAAGACACTTGTATCTGAAATGTCCAGTCAGAATCAATACTCCTGGCTGTAACTACACCATGAAACACCACTCCAAAGATCTCCGTCAGACGATTATTGAAAAGCATAAGTCAGGGGATGGATACAAGGATATTTCCAAGTCAGTGAGTATCCCTTGGAGTACAGTTAAATCCATCATTAAGAAATAGGAGACAGTGCATACAGCAACTGTTGATCTGTGAAAGCTTTATTGGAGGATGGCAAAGACAAGGTTACTGTTGAGAAAATCTCATTAGGTATCGACTACAGTTCTCCAGGAGGCAGATGAGAGAATCTGAAGTCAACTGGAGGAGGATTTTCTGGTCTGATGAGACCAAAATTTAACTTTTTGGCCATCCAATAAGACACCATGTTTGACAGACACGAACCACTGTCCATCATCACAAACACAGCATGAAGCATGGTGGTGGCAGCATCATGATGTGGGGATGCATCTTGGCAGTAGGCCCTGGAAAGCTTTTAAAGCCAATTCAGAGTCCAGACCTCAATCCAACTGATGTGGCAGAACTTGAAAAAGTCTGTTCGCTCATGATCCCTGTGCAACCTGACAAAGCTTGAATAGTTTTGCAAAGAGGAATGGGGTAAAATTGTGCCAATGTACGAGGTTGAATGAGACCGATCAGCACAGGCACAATACTGTAATCAATTATTGTACATTTTAGGATTTTAATTATTTACATTATTTTGTAGAAATTAGTTTTTGCTTTGACATGGAATAGTCTTTTTAAAAATATAAATAAATTAAAAAGTCAACTATGTTACGCATGATTTAATGTTAAAAAGCAAAAAAAAAGGGAAAATCTCTAAGGAGGTGAAAACACTAAAGTCACTGTTCAGAAAATTGTCAACAACCCCATTTACAGAAATCATAGGAGAATGTTAATGTAACATGTTGTTTAAATTGTAAATGAATTGATGGGAGTTATAGAGGACAGACAGATCGTTTATTTGCCTTTTTTTTTTTTTTTTTTAGCCTGCTGGTTCTATAAGGGCAGGCGATTTGGAACCAGTCCTGATATGCATCAGCAGAAAGAAGAGGAACCCATGGACAGTTTCCAAGGCTGCCACAGGGATTATATGGTAGACAAAGTCATTAATAATCACATTAACACCTCGGTGGGAATTAGAGTCCGCAGAGTAGAATTAGGCTCAAGAATGTAGATGCTGTTTATTACTTCACTTGGTTCAGAGGTGTAAGAAGGATTCAGATCCTTTACTTAAGTAAAAAGGACACGACATCAATGTACAAATTCTCCGATAAAAGTACAAGTCCTGCTGGAAAAATCCTACCTCAGTAGAGCAGCAGAATGTAGTAGAAGTATTAAGTAAGAGTACTGGTTTGGTCCCTCTTACTGATATGATATAATACGGATACAGAAGCATAATTGGAGCTAGTTTGAAGTGCTATATATGCAGTTTTATGTTCAGGGACAGCAGATAAATCTGATGGGTTGTGAGACAGTTAATAGGAGAGGAAAGACATAAAGACAGTTCTGATGCACAAATGTGTTTTCAGCTTTTAGAGTTGATCTCTAATCTTTAATTTTTGAGATTTGGACATTGAAATTAAACCATGTAGGAGCCGTTAACAACTATTAGACATGTGAAATGTGTTCCAGACTGTTTGTTTTTTAAGATATCAAAAGCCCAAAAAGTTGGAAACCCCTTGTTCAATATTAAGTATTTGTTGTATTTCAAAAGCTTGTTGTTTCATTAATTGTGTAAAATGGAAATAAATGTGAGACATTCCTGACAAATACTAAACTAAAGCTATGACTTTGTCGGCCATAAAACCAAAACAATCAGCAACTGAAACAATCGGCAGTGAATTTTTTTGTGGGTTTTGTCATAGCAAGTGACTCTTTTCCAATTACACATAGCTGATCATTATCAATATGAAAATATGGATAAGGCCAGCATAAAATGAATATTTTTGTATCTATTTTCATGACAACCACTCAGCTGCAGATTCAGAATGATGTAATCAGTCTTAATCAGTTAGTCTTGAAGTTTTGACTTTCACTTCTAACTTGAACATTAGTTTCATCACATTAGTTTCCAATAGGTTTCATACACCAGCAGATGATTGGTTTAACTTAAACTTAATCCTTACTGAACCAAAAGGGTTTTCACATGGCAGGGTGCAGTTGGAAAAGAATAAACTACCATAACACACACTTCTATTCTTGTGTATAATGGTGACAATATTTGGACAGAACTGGTGCATCCAAGCACTGACAGCCCAAAGTACCCACCTTTCTTGGGAGATGCTTGCACTTCTGCTGGTCTCTCTTTGGATTTCTTGGGGACATCAAAGGTGCTCTTCATCTGGGAAACTTTCACACTCGGACTCTGTTCTGCCACACGAACCTGAGCTTTGGCCGCTTCAGGTTTGGCTCGGCCCTGATGTCTCTGCATCTGGTTTGTTTCTCTGATAAGTTCTGACACGGGCTTGTAGGAACCCACCTCGCTGTCACTGCCTGCATCTCGTTGGCTTCTTTGATCCGTTATGTCTTTAAAGTTACGATGCTTGATGTGGCTGTCGTCGCCAACCGGAGCGCGTGTTCTCTCAGATCGGAGCTCGGGGTGGGTTTCTCTTTTCCCTGAACAAGCAGGTTTTGGTCTCTCAGTTTCATTGTCTGATGTGACCTCGGGTGTGTGTTGAGTCTCCGTATTTGGAGGCATTTTGGTAACAGGAGGAGGCGACCATTTACACCTGGATCGTCTCTCCTGGAAAACTCTTCTTTGTAACATGTCCAAGTTTTCCGCCTCTTCCTCTGGAGACAGTTTTTCCATGCGCACACAGTAGTCAAAGTCGATCATATCTCCGTATCGTTCATCCATGTACCCGAGTGAAAGATGGTCCCACATGCTGAGGTCGGCTGACTGTCGATGAATGCTAGCTGGTGTGGCGTAAGTGCCCCTTTCATCCCACAGCAAGCACATGTCCTGATTCTTTGGAGTGTTGCATGGAAGGCTTTGGTTAAAATGAAAAGTATGTCTCCTCTTGACCTTCTCCTCTGAACGCAGATGATCTTTGCCTCTTCTTTGCACATCAGTAGACATTAACTGCGCGGTTTTGAGCCGTATAAATGGGTTTTTAGGTTTCTTGGGGACAGGTGGAGGCGGACCTTTAACTTTGGGCTTTTCTTTCGGCATAGACTCACTATCTTTGGAATCGGATGGGGCAGACGTGGCGCCTGGCTCCGTGGCTGAATGGACCATGCTTGTGTCGGGTTGCGTTGCCGTTGTTGTGTCTTTCTTGGGCAACACATGAGTTAAAGGTGGAGGCGTGATGATGGCAGAGAAGCAAACAAGCTCGCTCTCCCGCTTTAAGCTCGCGACCTGTTTTCCATCACAGCCTGGCAGAGCAGGACAAGGGATCAAATCGCATTGTTCCAAGGAAAACGAGGGATTGTCTTGCGGTTGTGGCATTACAGAGTGAAGGGTCGCGGCCTTCGGAGGTTGGGAATTGAATGCCCGGCTGTCATCTTTCTTGGTAGATGAACACAGAGTGGCCGTGACTCCTTCTTTAGCCCTCTTAGAAACAACACCGGCAAACTTGCTCTGATGGGACTGATCGACTTGTTGCGCAAGAATCCCTGAACTCTGGCTTTCCTTATCCTGATTTTCAGATTCGTCTCGTGTTGACAGGTGCTGCTGCTTGCTGTGGTCATTCAAGGTTTGCTCCCTCTCTGCCTTTCCTCTGCCAGTTGTCTCACTGTGGGCAGCTCCGACTCGACTGCCTCCTTTTAGCTGACACCTGCTGCCTGTCACTTCAGCCAAATGTTGACCCATTTCCCTCTTAAAACAGGCGGTGGGTGAACTCCTCGCATGTGCGTCCACACTGTCCGTTGCGGCCGAAACAGTGTCGGACTTTCTTCTGCTCTTCTTCTCGCTACCCGATTCTTGAGGCGTATTCCTGGACGGCTCTTGAAGGTTGTCGTCATCGTAGACATCAGAAACATCTTCAGAAACTCTTCTTTTAATAGACGATTGAGGCTTCTCTGTTTTTATCCTGTCGCCAAACACAATGCTGTTTCCTCCATCAGATGACATCCAAGTTTCATCTCTTTCCAGCACCACAAAGTCTTCCTCACAAGTAGGGCTACCTCTGGTTTGAGTCACAGGACATAATTCACTGCGGTCAGCTTCGGATTTCTTCTGATGTTCTTGCTCCTCCATAGCTGTAGTCCCACTGCAGGCCACAGCCTTATTCTTAGAGCGCTGCTTATTGTTAAAAGTTTGCCTTGTCTCCCTCAAACTCCGGACAGTTTTTGACTCCTCTACACTTCTAGTGACACTCTCCCTGTCTCCACCCACCCGCTCTCTCCTGGTGTTCACAGGGTGCTCCTGCTGCCCCAGAGGCCTGATTGGCTGCCCAGTTTGGGGGTCTGTACGTGCAGAAGCGACTGTAAGCTCCCCAGTGGCCGGGCTGCCAACGCTGATCCCGCTAATCCCGCCAATGCTCTGAGGTCTCGCAAAGCTGCCATCGTCCTGATCTTTGGGCTTCTCATCTTGCTCTGCGGCCTCCGACTGCTGCGCGCCGTCGGTTTGCTCTGAGCCGCTGGAACATTCACGCGACTCTTCGTCTTTTTCCTCCAGCTTCTCCAGCTTCTGGCCCATGGCTGATGCTCTGTCTTGGCATTAGGAAAAGACAGACACAAATGTCAAGACACAGCAGGGGGGGGGGTTTATAAGCAAGTCACAATGACAGAATGACAATGACTTGCAGGCCCATCCCAGTGAGGTGAAATCACACGACAGGCATTGCTCTCTATCGCTGACTATCTTGAACCTATCTCTATTTTTGTCCATTCTTCTATACAGTTCACACTTGCCCTCCCGAGGCCCCTGTGTCTATCTCTCCCTATTCTGTCAGGAAGGAATGCCGTGGTGGCTATAATTAAAGCAGGTCTGACGGCTGCCAGTGAGTCAGGAGGCCAAAAAAGAAACAAGACAAGTTAGATAAGAGGTCAGATGGCAGGTGCCAAGGTCAGACGGGACAGTCGGAGCAAATGTGGAACGTTATCTTCTGACAATTACACCAACAATAAATCACTCAGAATCATTTTTCTCTTCCTTTGAAACCACATTAGCGAATTGCATCAGGGCCTTGTTTCGTATGATTTGTGGATTTAATAACCGGCTGTGGGCCAGCGTGTCCCTTTGCGGAGACGTCACACGCTGTCAATTAAAGCCGTGGAGACGAGGCGTGTTTGTGCCGTATGTGCCGCCCTTCAGACTATCTGAATGTTTATGATTGTTTTGGTGACGGGGGTCCACAGAAAGGTCAACCAGGATACACGATTCGCGTCACGAATGCTTCGGCTTCTCCACTCAATTGTTTGTCAGGAGTTTGATGAGAGCAGAGTTTGACCGCAGACATGATGGATGGCGTACGGGAGATTATTACAAAGGAAAACAGCTCAACAGGCGTTCGTGGCATGTGGCGTGTGCAGGGGTGTATTCTTAGCTTACAAACAAACAGTACCAGGAGTCTAAAGTAACTGAGTGTATTTATTTAATTAGTGTGTTTAAGAACATTTACTTTACTTGAATATTTACATTTTACTTTATGTTCCCACTCTGCTACATTTCCTTGACAATCTTAAGATGACAGTTTTACATAATGGATAATACAACAAGCTTTTAAAACACAACGTACTGTTGGTTTCCAGCTTTTTTTTGGCTTCTGGCATTCTACAAAAAGCAGTGTATTGTTGGGGTCACGTTTTAGATGTCGATGTGCTGTTAATGGCATTCAGATGATTCAATATCTCCCAAAAACTACGGATTGGAGAGAAGGTCAAAAACAAATTTCTTCTTTCTTCTCCCATTAACCATCTTAAAACCTCACAGATTTAGCTGTTGTCTCTTTAAAAACAGTAAAACTGGATATAAAATAGTTGAAACCAGCTCCACCTGCAGCAGCTACAACAGTAACACTGATACTTCAGTATTAGTAATATAATGACGTCATATATACAGCGCCCTCCATAATTATTGGCACCTCTGGTTAAGATGTGTTAAAAGCCTTAAAATAAATTCAATTTTTTTTGCAGAAGCATCCCCTCACACTGAAAATTGTAGAAAAATGTCACATTCAACTCAACTCAAATGAATTGTTGGCAAAAGGGAGCTGTACAAAGTATTAACTTTAGGGGTGCTGATAACTGTGGCACACATGATGTGATGTAAAAGAATTATTTTTTAAAGTGGGATTTTTTTTTCACACTAAATAAATGCACTTGAATTAAAGGTTGACTTTTCCTCTTTTTTTGTCATTGTGGTCCTATATTATTTAGAAAAAAACTGAATTTACTAGAAGCTAAAGAACACATCTTAACCAATAATTATGGAGGGTGCTGTAATAGTACATCAGCCCAAAGGACCAAATTAGTACTTTAAAACTTTAACTACACTTTGCTGCTAATACTTACATACTTTTACTTACGCAGGAATTTTTTATGCAGGACTTTTACTTGTAATGGAGTAGTTTTACATTGCGAGTTGGCACTATGAATAGTTCTTCCACCAGTAGTAAGTAAGTGGGAAATAAAAAGAAAGATGGAAAGTATTGTTGCAGTTGTTTTGTAGAAACACACACGTCATTTACTTAATCTGTATATCTCACAGATATAAAATGTCAAGCTGCTTTGTGAACTTTTTTCCTTCTAATTATTATTATTATTACTATTATTATTATTATTATTGTTATTGTTATTATTATTATAACTTTGTTGCTGTAAAGATCAATTATAAAGCAGAAATGACTGATTTCAACGAGTAACTCTTCATTTCTTTACAAACACGGAACGTTTGTGGCTTAGCTTTGAATTTTAATACAATTTAAATACAAAAATATCCTATATTAACATCTTAAATCAGCTGTAACACTTGAAAACACCACGTCTAAAATCAGCTTGGCCAAAAATAATGGACAGCGGTACAACAGACGGCTAATACAGGTGGAAAAAAAATCATATATTTACAGTTACCTAGTAATGTACTTAAATAGCCAATAAAAGCATTAATAATTGTTTGACATAGATGGCACTGTTGGGATTATGAGAGAACAACTGTATTCTTTTCCATGTAAAGGAGCTTTTGTGTTTGATGGACTGCAGCTCTGGTTTTATGGTTTCAGGCTGACAACAATCCACCGACTTGACTTGCAGCTTTACTGTATCCAGAGTGTTATTTTGGGATGGATGTGTTATAATGGCAGCAGTGGGAGGCATCTGTGACATTGGCTTGTGAAACCCTCCCCTCTCCCTCAGTCTCTCTCTCTTTCCATTCCCTCTTCTTGTGTCTCTCATGCTTCCAATAGTAAGCGCTCAGCTTTATAAGAGACTTGTGACTTAGAGTACACAAACTATTAGGCCGCTCTCACGATAGGCTTTGTGATTTTTTTTCCCAAACAAAATACTTTCCTTTTAACTCTCTAAGCTCCAAATTCAAACTGCCAGTACATCAGGATGATATTCAGAATCTAGTTTGGCAGTAAAATTTCCATAGCGCTGTGTGAGGCGGGACTTCTAACTGACGCTGAGAGATAAAGTTTAAGGTGGCGCGGTGAATTTATGCACTTTCTTCAGCTTTAATAATATATTTCAGTATGTTTAGACGACACGTATACAATGCAGATGCACCTTTTGACAACTTAAATGAAATAAGTTCTCACGTTAAAGTAGAAAACTTTGCTTCAACATTTTCCCTGACAGTCAATTCTAACTCTGAATGATTTTTCCTTTCAAACAGCTACCTGTCCGCCCTCGTGTTATCTAATAAGCAGCTACACTGACATAAAAACATCCAAAACGAGAGGTTACAACAGGTATATACTCACTGAAGTGGCTGTTTCACGCCGACGTTCCCGCCTGTCGTTCTGCTGGACCTTCTGTGAGATGTTCTCCTTCAGCTGTCACCTGCCCCGTGATGTCAGACTGGCTTCATTTGACTAATTCAATAAGAGGCCTTTCTGCTCTGTCCATTTAACTAAAAGAGCAAGTGAAGGCCAGAAGCAGACAGATTCAATTCATCAACAGGGTACAGTACATTGCAAAAAAAACAAACACAAACAAAAAAGCAGGTGCCTCAGATACAGATCTGGTGATATTTTCCACCTAAAGTCCCTCTAGTTATTATTAGGGATGCATGATATTGGGTTTTTGTTAATATTACCTGATTGCTAATGCTTATACGGATTTGTCCACATACTGTATGTTTTATATCTAATTGCAGTCTCTCCTGTAGTGGAATGAACACATTATTATGCCTGCTCTTATCGTACTGCTCCATCGGCAGCTGCACTACTTCAGCTTACATGTAAAAATAGCCATAAATATTTTGATCGAGCAAAACTGCAAACGTCTGGCTTGACAGTTATCATCTGTCTGCGCTTATTTAGAGCTGGTGTTTTATTTTAAAGTCTCTCTTCTGTCATTGCTTGAGCCCCCAAAGTTTCATCTCTTTGTATGGAAGTTACAAATGATGATTTAAAAAAATTAGAAAATAATCCCTTCCTTCTTTAAAATGGCGTACACATTAGTAACTCTTCACTGTGGCCTCCTTAAAATGTGCACCCGTATTAAATCCCCGCCTTTTTCGCCACTTGCTTTGCCACAGCTCGCTGCAGCCCAAGCACACCAGCTCACCTACAACTCTGCTCAAATACTGTAAAGCTACTGCATGCTACACAATGGCAACTTGGAATGTAAGGAGTGATGAATAATGATACAGAGATTCTACAAGAAACCAGATTGGTTCCTTAGTTTGTTCCATATGAAACCGCTAAAATCTGTGTTTTTGATGCTGTCATCAGGACGCTGCAGTTTAAAGGCGTAAATGCTCAGTCACATCAATAACTACTTATTTCACTCATAATGTGGCCTTTAGTCCAGTGGTTCTCAAAGTTTTTGAGAACCCCAAGATAACATAAGTTTGTGTTCATGACCCCCCCAATTTGAATTTCTCATACATCATGAGTAATAACATTAAAAATTAATGTGTTAATTCCACAGATTAATCTCTGTACATTAACATGTTAATATTCTTTTGAATGAATGAATGAATTGAATTAATTTTGAACACATGAAAGGGAACATAACATAAAAACAAAAGAAAATAATTAGAAAAAAGAGCAAAAAAGAATAATAATATCACATAATCAAATCATAACATTAACAAGTTTAAAAAGGAGTGGGAAGAAGTATACACTTTAAATTTTGACAGCCCTAATGCAAATATATTTGATAAATGTAGGCTTTATTTTATTT